GTGTCTGGTATGGGGAGACTTGTGCACAGAAGTGGGTGGTCGATTTCATGATTGCATCGTCTTACTTACGATGTTTCGTGATTGATGTTCACATTAAAAGGAGCAGAACAGTCAACCGTTAATCATCTTATTCGCACCCTTCATTTTAAATGACGGATCCAACGTCTGCCATTGCTTGGACACTTGTTAGGAATGCTTTCAGAGATGAAGGCGAAACTTCTGCTAATATTACAAAGGTATTACCTACCCATCCTATCGACTGAAGACCCTGTGGATGGCTAAAAATAACCCTGTGCAATTGCATGCATGGACCCTGCTCCAGACTCAGGTTATCTTATGCCGAAGCACAGTCTCTGTGACAAGATCGAAGATGTTGGAGACACTATTTGACGCATCTAGTTTGGCGACCAGAAAGGATGAACGATGATGGAAACTGAGTGACTATGTGAATTGTTCCTTCGGCGAAGGATTCCTGCTAGATAAAAATAATTGTAGCTGATTTCGCCATTAACGTGGTCACTACCAAAAGCTTCAACGACTGCAGATTCAGATGTTAATAGCAGTTGCTTGAACAGTGGGTTTTGTATATCGTTACAGTATTGCCTTTTCAGTTACTCCTCTGATTTGAAGAAAGGAACGTTATCGACTTCTCCGGGAGTGCCGATCGATGCTCTGACATTGCCTCAGATGACATTGCTCAAGAAATTCTGTGCATATAAATTGGCCGGAATTATGGAGAAGTACTCGCAACCCGTTAGACACTTTGGCTGGGACTTCTGGATCCAGCGTCTGATCGGTCGTATGTCTTGCCAGAACCAGAAAACATATGACGGTAAGTTGTTACCATTTTGGAATGCTCTGTCCTTGTGGACGTGGACCTATGACTTTTCAGAGCGTGCTATTTTCGATGTTCCCCTAAGCGTCCTCGTACAACGAACTGGTCAGCCGATACCGCAATGCATTCTGCAGTCGATGGAATACCTGAAGAGCGAAGCTTGCGACGTGGTTGGCATTTTCCGCAAGTCGGGTACTTGCTCTCGGGTGCAGAAGCTAAGACAGCTGTGCGAATCAGCTACAGGTACACAGATAACTACCTAAATGTATGCCACTGTGTAACCGGATTCATCATATTCAGAAAGCATCAT